GAAGAAACTATCATTCATCACTTCGATATGCCATTTGCTATAATAAATAAAATGCATGTGAACAACTCAAGAGAAGAAACTATCACCTAAGAGGCTGTTGTGTATCCGTCGTGATGCGCCTTTTGCCATCTCCATGCAATTTGTAAACTCTCCTAGAGATCGGTAAATCGAGCTGTCCAATTCAGTTCCCGCCTTATCATAGTTGGATCACTAAACACTTCTGCATAGTCTCCAGGTCGGCGGGGCAGATAGTCGACTTTGATCTCCACCCCAGTGGCTTTCTTACATGCCTCCACAAACTCCTTCACATATCTACCTTTTTCGGTGCCAACATTGTAGATTCCCACTTTATGGGGCTTTGCGTTTTGAAGAGCTTTCACATGAGCATCGATCAGGTCAGTAACGTCGATATAATCACGAATGCAAGTCTCGTCTTGTGTTTTATAGTCCATTCCCTTGACCTACAAGAAAATCACAATAACCATAACAAAGTTCACCAAAATCAGTTTGAAACCATAAAGGCAAAACTATGGACATCTTGGGTGACAGGTGTGATAACATTATAAAAGTTACAAGAAAAAACAAACATGCAAAAAGCACATACAAAATACAGTTGTAGTAATTAATACACATATTATTTTATCATATACACAATCTTTTTCACTCGAGAAAATGCATCATTGTTAAACATGTGGAATGACAGATAATCATAGTTCAGCCCAAATCTTTCAAATCTTCAATGAGCTCTAAGATTTGCCTAACGTATTATGCAGATGCTTGCAAAGGTGATGTCAGCATAAAAGAAAATTAAATTAGATACACAAAGCATCCAGTTATGCAAAATCATCATCTATAACAAACTTGTTTCAAGGAAAAGATGAAAATGTAGGCATTATAAATGATCATAGATTTTTTTCTAGTAGCTGTCAAACTTTAGAATCACTTATATATACTTTTGATTCTAATGAACTTTACTTGATACTCACACATAGAAAATCAATGATTTGATTGAACGCATATTTGTACTTCAGTATACTTCTTTGCACTTCCCATTGTTAGGAAGAGAATACATTCACAAAACTATCCAATTTCACATCAGCAATATACACATGGCCTTTAAGAAAGTATCTGTGGTGTTCACAATCTTCCTAAAAATAATGAAGTGTTCTCTACATTGTCTGTACATGACTAGTTGTTTACATCTTGACCCCAGGTGTAGCTGAAATACGTAGCAATCATTAAAGAATCATAGTGAAGGGATAAAAGGAATAACACACCTTGAGACCAATAATAATACCACGAGCTGCATCAAAACAAGCACCTAAAATTCGTCCATGCTCACACTACTCAGGTTTGGGAGCCTCACCTAATCTTCCTTCAGGATCTGACCCGATCACATTGAAGTATCTAAAAATCACAAAAATATATATGAATCATAACCTCAGCAAATTCCTTTTAATGTTCAAGTTTTTAATAACAATAATAATATATTAATAGGAGAGCATATTGTTAGACTATAAGCAATTGTGGTCAGAACTCTACACATTGAATATGATAGTATAAGCCCTTCAAGGTCTACAAAGTTCATCAATCCTAAATTATTCTGAACTAAGCTACCTTCTATGGTTTCCTTGTAATCTAGAACTACAAAATGAATGTGTTAAAAATAGGACTATGTAGACCTTGCATGTATGTCTTATATATGCAGCAGTTGGCTGACAGAACAATGAAAACTTATCAACTAACTCCCTCCAATGAGAAAGTATAATGATCTAAAATACTTAGTTTTGGTTTAAGGCATGGAAGACTTTTGGGATGCTAAGTTGATAAAATTATGCATATTGAGAAAAGAAAACATGGAGTAAACTCAAAGCTCCTAAAAGTAAACTAAAATAAAACCTTAGGATCATTACTGCCATGTCTGAATGATGATATCTTCTGCCATCTTCTTAGCTTTTCCATATGGATTGATTGGAACCTTAGTTGGTTCTAAAACGAAGGTCGGTTTCCTTGTAACACAACTCTATATTAATCCAGAAGTTGATGAAGGTTGATCCTTTAATATTTGGCCTCAAACAAAAATTTAAAAAGTTATCAAGCATAAAATCAAGTTTGCAACGTGCCTGTGGGGTTTCTTCAGTGATTGGCATCTTCTCAGGCTCCCCATATGTGGCACATGTACTAGAATATATCAAAGTCCTAACACCATGAGCAACCATCGACTCTAGGACCACCAAAGTGTTTGAAGTAATGTTGTGATAATACCTACAAATCATGGGAATATATAGCATAAAGAACATAATTTGGAGATTAGTTTAAATCATGCAAAAACTTCCCAATCAAAGATCAAGTACTTAATTTTAAAGGTCAAAAGATAAATGCTTTTTAATAACACAGCTAATGCAAATACAAGAGGATATTTGAATGGCAATGGTGTTAGAAAAAATCCATCTAGAGAACGAATATAAAAGTTGGATTTACACGAAACCCATCAAGGAAATGAAAAGCATGAATTTCATTGCAGATACACCGAAGGAAATGAAAAAAAGATGAATTTACCCGAAAGTAAAAACAAAAGAACATTAATGGGACATTGAAGGAGGCCAAGAAAATAACAAAAGAAGGGGGAACCCTAAAGAAGAACCTATTTCCTGGTCTTTATCGAGAGGGAAGAACTGTCGGGTCACGGGAGCCGGTTTACTCTCCATGGAGCACTCTTCTTCTTCTTCTTTGTGAGGCGCTGAGAAATCAAAAATCCTGCTACTTTTCTTCTTTAACCCCGCTTTAACTCTCTCACCATCTTCTTCTTCCGATCCATCCTCGACCACCAAAGCTGAAGAACTTTAATTCGACATGGATCCGACCCGTTTTCCCTTGTCTTCATCACCGTCTACGGAAGTCTTCTGCTACGAACAATAGCCCTCGGATTTATCGTCTCTCGGTTGTTGATACGACGAGTCATTGAGATCCCACATTTTCCCCTCTTTCTCAACTTATAATCTCCACACAAAAAAACAACAAACTTAAGAAAATATCCTCACCAAAAAAAAACCCCCAAAAACTTCAGAGAGAAAACTAGAATTGATTAACGAGGGGGAAGAGAAGCGGGAAAGGATGAAAATAATGGGGGGAAATTAAAATACGACTCCTAAAGATGACACCTAAAGATGACACACATTTAAAATTGTACTCCGTGTTTTTGTAAATTTTTTGGATTATGACTATTAAATATGACACACATTATTGTAAATCATAAATCGTTCAGATTTTTAAAAATATGACATTTTTTTAATGACACACATGTTTTGCAAGTCATAAATTAGCGTGTATTATCGTTCGTGTGTCATTAAAGGTATATTTTCTTGTAGTGTGTACAGATAAAGTAATTTTTTTCTGAATGGAATTCAGAGCATTACTTCACACAACTAAATTTAGTTTGGGAAAAGAAAAATGAGGAGCACAATTCTTAATGTTGAATTTACTCCCTCACAAAATCATTGCAAATATAAATTATATATTTTTAAAAATAATTACAATTATTCTCCCGTAACCTTCTTCAACTGTTTTTCCCGACACCATCAAAGTTTTGTAAAAACCACTCTACCTCAAACCTAAATATCTGATGATAAAAATAACTCCGACTTGAAGAACATGCTAAACTAATCCCATCTTTCATACAGCATTAAACATGGTCTGACATTCAAACTCAAGATACACCGTACGAATGAATTTGGGGTTGTAATCTTTCATACAATATCAAGCATGGTTTAACATTCAAGCTCGAAACACTCGTAAGAATAAATTTAGGGTTGTAAATAAGATGAGTCAAGTTCGAATACATTAAACTTAACTCTATTCAACAAATTCAAAATCGAATTTAACTTAAAAGGTTTAAAGCCAACTCTAAAATTCACAAGTTTAAAATTATCAAGTTCAACTCGAAATAAAAAAAATTAAATCTCGGTTCGAGCTTAAAAGAACTTAGACTCATAACATTCTCAACTTAGTTTGATTGAGGCTCAACCCAAACTTGAACCGTAAATACATGAAAAACATTATATTGCATTTTAATTTATTTTAATTTAAAAACTTAATAATTTAATATATTTTTTTTTCCGAATTACACTTAAGTTTTTCAAATCAAATATCAAAAAATTTATTTCAATTTGTTAAAAAATTTAGTTATATTTAGACATAAATTAAATCTATATAAATTGAATGTTGACTAAATTTTAATCATATCAAATTTAAATAACTTGAGATGTATCGTCTCATTTACATTTTACAACCCTACATGAACCCATCTTAACCTACTCGTTTGTTGCCGCGTATTTGCATAAACAATAAATAATTTGACCCATTGCAAAATTGACCCAATAAACCGACTAGAAAAATTAGCCTATTAAGTTAATCCGAATTTTAATTTGAGATCCACGACAAATGTTATAATACAAAACAAATTCGTCACATTCACATGACAAAATTATTCAAATAATATTTTTTTATTCAAACTCGTCACATAGATATGTCAAGTTCCAAAAAAATATATAATTGTTTTATTAGAATTTGTCATATCAAAATAACAAGTTTCAATAAAAAAATGTTTTATTGAAACTCATCGTACCAAGTGACAAAGTCTAAGTCACCATATCAAATGCCATAGATCCCAAATTAATTTTGAAGATAGTCTAATGGGTCAATTTTTTACCTGTCTGACCTATTGGGCCAATTTTGCCGCATAACCCTATTGTCTATAGCCAACCCACTAGTCCAACAGGATATTGAAATGTCAGTTTAAGGCCTAGGCATCCATAGATTCCAGCTTCAAAGGGAGGGGCTTCCAAAGCTTCGACTAGTCTGGTTGGTTATGCATTGCGATCAAAATTTTGTACATTGTCGGTGCTGCTGTCACTGGAAAACAACATTGTCACATAAGGTAAAATAAAAGGAAACCAGTTAAACAGTTCGGGCTGCTTTTTTCCCTGAAAGTTGAGAGAAAAGTGGGATGATAAATTTTCATACAGACAACTAGCAAGAAAATTGTGTTTTAAGGAGGGCTAGGTTCTGTAAATAAAGAGACAAATCACACAATTGATTTAAACATCAAAGGAACAGTTAATGAGGCCCTCTTGTTACATAAGTAGGCACCACTTAATCCATAGCATATTTTTGAATCCAGCTCTATTCCTGTCGGTCTTGTACATGTGGGCAATCTCAGGCACAAGTCTGTTAAGAGAGAGCAGCTTGATAGCAGCATCTAGAATCAAAATTAGATATAATAAGAACACATCCCCACACCTAATATCACAAAACACAGGCAGGCAAAATTTTTACATAATAGAATAATTTATCTTCTAGACCAGGGTCACCAGATGGTACAAACAACTTGGACAGAAAATGAAAGGCTTAATTTTAAAGGCCTCCATTTCGACTGTTTCATTCTAAATCGGTAAACGGTATCAGGTAAGCCAAGTGTATTACAACAGGGCAATGTTTATTCAAATTAAAAGATGTATACAGATTAAAGCGGTTAGAAAAGTCAAATAATAACCTTGGATATGGTGAGGGCGGGGCTCCACTGCTCCTTTAAAATATCAAGGCAAATGCTACCATTGCTGTTAATATTAGGGTGGAATACCTTTGTCCTCAATGCAATATGAATGGAAGGAAATTATTTAAGGCTAAAAAGAACAATAAAAGGGACGGGGAAAAAGTTAGCTAAACAAAACTACTAGAGAAACTTCTTAGTCATGAATCAGTAGCTAAACAATCACATTTATTTGCCATTAGGTGGAAAAAAAGCCTGAAGTACCTTTATCACATGATTTACACTGTTAACTACAGGAATTAGCAGTCTAGCTCGGCATTGACGAGTTAATGGTCAATTGGTCATCACCAAATGAAAATTCTATTTGAAAATAAACTTTCAGCTATTTTATCTTCAATAAACGAGAACCATTATCATTATCATGTAAAAGTTATTAATATACTTCCATTCACAATATTTTTCTTTAACCAAGAAAGTAAACTACAGTAAATTCAAGGAGCTATTACTAAATATGCAAATACATGTAATAGACATGGCTTACCTGATGCTGTTTACAAAAGCAAAAATAACAACAGAACATGTAAACGCTGGCACTGAAAACCACCTAACAATAGCCTTCACTCCAAGGAACCATTAGACACCCAACATGCATACATGCCTGATGGAGAATAAAAGAATTCGTGGAACAGAATAAACAAATAAAATCAGAAAGGAAATCAAGTAGAATAAGCGTTTACTAATTTCAATGTCGAGCAATATTGGCACAAGCCACCTGCCCTGTAAGGACAACTTGGTGGCACAGTATTTGCAGCAAGGAATTAGTTAAATAATATTGATGGCTCAAAATATTTCTATAACAAATACCCTTAAAAATTTAAGGTCGGTAAAGCAAGATTATAATGTCAATCTGATGAACTTGCATTACATGGAGTGCTATCCAAATTTCATGAAAAAACTTGAGCGACAGAGTGGCATGTTTTAAAAGCAAAAGACAAGTCATTGCGGATAGATGTAACATCAATAAAAGTAAAAATATACGATACACAATGAAGCCAGGAACAAATAAGAAATAGATTGTTAAGTAAGACAATTAAGCACCTTGGTAGGTTTAAATGGATAATCCGGAGGAAAATGAATTGTGATTAGAAACACCCCACCGGCATATGGACTATCTGGAGGACCCATAATAGTTGCTAGCCAATGAAAAATGTCTTCAGCAACAGGGCCTTATTAAATAATAAGAGAACGTTAAAAAAATAGTTCAATGAAATAACCAATCAGCAGTATCATCTTCAAAATATTTTCCTAAATAAAATCCCAATCCTTTTCATGTTTTCCTTGAGAAAATATAAGATGTTACAGTCCTAAAATGTTTTAGTACATTTAACAGAAATTATGAGTCCCTGTGCGCGATAAATGATAATAACATCACATGCTAATCATATCCATACAACATCACCTATGCAGAAACAATTTGTTATGGACAAGGATATGGATAACAATCAGTAAGTATCAGTGTGAGTATAAGACATGAAAAAGAAAAAAAATGGAGAAGTTTTGACAATCTTGAGTCAAACTGAATCCAATGATGAAAACCTTAAAACTGACAACCAAGAAAAACAGAAAAGAAAGAAACATACTGCAGTTTGAATCAATGAAACCATCGTGGTCAAAACTCAAAATTCAATTAGTATAGGCCCTCTATATACAGCTCAAAATTCAATTACACGTCAATGATTATCTCATCTCATGATTTAAAAGAACAAAATGCAAAGAAATTTCAAAAAAAACAAAAATGGAGTGAATATCATTGAAAAAAAGACTAAAATATGATGAGAAAGAGCACAAGAATAAACCAATCGGGGCAGGAAACGAAGAAAAAGAGGGATGGAATTGAACCAGCGCTGCAAGAGGTAGGAGGATCTTTCTGGAGATCCTTGAGCTCCTTCAGTATCCGCTTTGAAGCCATAACCTTAACCCTAAAACAAAACAGAATAAATTATCCAAAAAAAAAACAAAACAGAGTTTGTGTTTCTTCATAGAACAAGAGCGAATCAAATTCAACCTAGATCGTCCTGAACTTCAATAAATTTAAATTTAAGAGACATGAAATAGGAAGTACCTGGCAGATCCCCCTGCCCCGCTAGATAGTTTGTTATTTAGTCGCTGCAAATAGCGGAAGAAAAATGAAGCGTATATAAAAACAGAATTTAATAGAGAGGTCTAAGAAAATGTAAACCCTACTTAATACAAAAAAAAAATAACTAAAGAATGCTTAACGGTAATCTTTTATTTTCAACAGCGATATTTTGAGTATATTACCAGGAAGGTGATTACTCATTTCTTTAGGTATTGTTGGATTACTAGTATTTTGAACTAAAATGCCATTAATATTTTTTTTTCAAAATTATCATTCTTCTGCCGTTGAATAATAAAAATTCTACGAATGTTAAATTACAAATTTATCCTTAAAATATTTTAGATTTACAAAAAAATCCATAATTAAAATTTTATATGAAGTTAAGGGGTTAAAATAAAATTTTACCCTTTCATTAAACATATTTATTTTTTCAATTTTGTAAAAAAAATTATATAAATTTTATGAATTTAAATTTTTTAAAGAAAATATATAAATTATTTATAGTAATATTATAGTAGAATTCAACTTGTTAAAAAAACAAATATATATTAAGGACAATTTGGTAAAATATACATTCCAATAATCTTTTATTCATTTAACCAAACACTATAATCTTACATTCCTGCTAAACGAACCAAAAACAAAATACAACATTCTCAGTAATCTTATTTCCGTCGGTAATCATATTCCCACTAGTAATCTTACTTTCCATGAATCAAATGTACTCTTATGTCTTGATGGTAGGAAAATGGTTTTTAGAAAATATTTTACTCATTCTTTCAGTATTTGATAACTGTAATTGGTTTTACATAAAATATTTTCATTGTTTGATAGTTGTAATTGATTTTTCCTATGTAATTCATTTTTGTAGTTCCTTTTATTTTCTGTAAATTGTTTTATTATCTGATTTTTCGTAAAATATTTTCTTAAAGTTTCACTTTAGAGTATAAATACTCAAAAAAATATTATTTATACATTTAATATTACATTAAAATTTTAATATCATTTTAATAAAAATATTAATTATTAAAATATTTAATATACATATAATATAATTTTAAAAATATTATATTTTTAATATTATATTAATATATACTCAAATATATTATAATAACATATGATATTAATAATATATAATAGATTATTAATATAATTCATATTATCTACTATTTTTATAAATATAATATTATTAAATTATTAATAATGAGTAATATTAATTTATATATTTAATATTAATATAATAATTTAGTATTATGTTAATAAAATAATAATTAAAATTAAGGGTGTTCAAATGGTTAATTCAACCTATCAAATTGAATTAACATTAACAAATAAATCAAACTTTTTTCTTTAATCGTGAATCATTTTTTTTGAAAATATTAACTAAACCAAACTTTATTCATTTTATGTAAATCATTTCCTATAAAATTAATTATAGTGTATCAAACAATTAATCAAAATGATTTACATAATATCATCAAAATACCGTAAAATAGTTTCTGAAAATTATTTCCTAGAAAATGTAATTCATTTTACCTAAAACAATTTTAGCTAATTCATTTTACATAAAATAATTTTCATGTAATTCATTTTTACATAAAATGATTTTCATGTAATCAAATTTACGTAAATTATTTTCCAGAAAACCAATTACACTAAAGAATGTTTCGCTAAAAATATAACGGAGAAAACTTTAGATACTTATTTTTAGCAAAACATTCTTTAGGCACCAAAAATTAATTTTCAGTATAGTTTACGTCGAAACAATTTTTTTCTTAAAGTGAGATTTTAAAAAAAAAAACACACATCATTTTTTATTTATTCTCTTTATGATTAGTTTTTAATTAAAAAGTCATGTGATTTTAAAAAAACTCTTGTTTCAAAAAAGTTGGGATTTCTTTTAAAAATAAAAATGTATGGTTCGAGGAATCACCATCAATCTTTGATTAGGGTGTGATTGAGCACCCAAAAACATTTTTCCATTTTAAATAAAAAATAATTTTAATTAAAATGACAAATTTATGGTATGCTTTACCGAAATCTGAGTTCGGAAGTCGGTTACGCGTGGGGAATGATTAGCATCTCACAGCGCCCTAAATCGATACCTAGTCGATTAATTAATGTATTTGCAATAAAATTTACAAGTTCAAATTTAATTTGATTTTTGATCCCATAAAACAACAACAATGTGAATTTTACAATGAAATATAATAATAATAATAATAATAAATTATTTCCTATCGAGAAGAAACAAATACCTCATAACTCGAGACAGTCAATTCTTACTTCAATCGAAATAAAGAAATATTGTAATTCCATTATAATATTCAAATGCACGAAAATATATTAAATTAAAATTACCAAGCCTTTTTAGAAAGATAAAGAATGTTCGATTATTTAAAAATAGCGAGACCATATCTTAAAAAAGTCTAACAATCTTTTCTCAAAATTTTTAAATAATCAAACATTTCTTCTTCTTTTTTTGTTCCCAAATTTTAAGGTGACAAACCATTTTTTAAAGTTTCACACTTAGTATACACTTTTAATTTAAAATCGTCGAAAGTGACCCTCTAATGAGTTAAGACAAATAACTCAAAATAATTTTAAATTAAAAGGGTATTACCCTTAAGCTAATTATGTAATTAAGTCGAGTTGTGCATACGAGGTTAACATACAAAAATACAAAATGATGCCAGAAAAAAACTATATCTAGAAAAACACACAAATAAATAATAATATATTGGGACAATTATAAACACCTTAAAATAAAATATACTTCTCCTATTATTAAATTAATTAATTAATTAATATATATATATATATATATATCTAAATGTAAAAGATCCTAGATTTACAAAATTATTACACACGCATATTCATTCCAGCGATATAACCAAAAGAATTAATATATTTAAACTCATAACCTTAGACTAAAAAACAAGGACTAAACCTATTAAATTAAATTAAGATTAAAAACCTAATAAATAAATTTTAATCCATGAAACAAGTCTTAAAATGCAACTAATGAAATTAATAATGGCTTATGTAAATAAACTAATAATTCACACATGGTCAAATCAAACAGTGATCAAAACATAAATAAAAATAAATTAACAACCCGAATCATAAAAATGTAAACTTTGATTAATGACTGAATCAAGAGATTACCAAATAACAGGGACCTAAAACACTATTATCCCAATCTTCTAAAACATGGGTTGTGTCACTTCCTAAGACGCGACAGTTTCGGTACCTGTTCAAACGACGTCGTTTCCATAATGGTATAAATCATTCTTTTAGGTTTGAGAAAACCCTAAGGTGGCGTTTGGTTCGCTAGAATGTTTCTGAGAGAATTGAAATCTGTGAAGGAATTTGAATATGTAGGAATTGGAATATGAATCTGAAATCTGTTTGGTTGGCAGGAAATTGAATTGGAATCCAATTCCATATTCTGTTTGGTTCGTAGACATGTCAGATGAATTCGATTTCAGTAATGTAAAATGAAATAATTACCCTTCTTGTTTTTTTTACTTAATTTTAGTTTGTTTTATAACTTACATGTAGCAATATATTATAAAAATTTAAAAAATATTAAATTTTCATTTTATTGATTGATTATTTATTTCAATAAATTATAAAAATCATACTAATAAAAATCATAAGTTAAAATCATCCCAATTAGGGATGGTCATGGGTCGGGTTGGGTCGAGTTTTTGGTCCCCCCGACCCGACCCTAGAACAAGGGAACCTCCACCCGAGACCCGACCCGACCAAAATAAAGTTTCACCCGACCCGACCTGACCCGAAATAATAAAAAAATTTATTTTTATTCAATAAAAACAGTGACTTAATTGAAAAAAAATTATATATAGAGGAGTATTATTGTAATTATTCCTAAATATATAAGGTAAAATTATATATTTTTCAGGTCGGATCGGGTATTTTTCACCCTAAACCCGAACCTGACTTGAATATCACACTTAAAAAAACCCGACCCAACCCGAATATCAAACTTAAAAAAACCCGACCCGACCCGAGCCCGAAATTTAAAAAAAATCTGACCCGATCCCGAATTTTTTTGAAAAAAACCCGACCCTACCCTAATATCACACTTACAAAAACCCGACCCGACCCGAATATCAAACTTTAAAAAACCCGAACCCAAAATTTTTTTAAAAAATTCGACCGACACCGAATTTTTTTTAAAAAAAATCTTACCCGAATACCAAAAGATTGATGAGGGTAGTATGGTCAAATTTCACATTCCCTCCTCCAAAAGATTTCAATTCTATCATGTTATGGATAGAATTTACTTTCTCTCCCTTGATGGAATTGAATTCCAATTCCCCCTTTGAAAACTTGAACCAAACATGGGAAAGTGGTGCAATTGGATTCCAATTCCCCCTAATTCCAAGGGAATCCAGAGAACCAAACACCACCTAAGACTTCATTTTCTTTCTTTTTTTCTTTATTCACTCGGTCGCATTCTCTCAATCTTTTCCCTCAGCCCTCGACGAAACCCTATCAGATACCATGGCCACCGTGGCCTTCATCCTCCCAACGGCACTTACGAGGGACCAAACAAGCCCGATGAACAACCCCTGACCTCCAATCTTTATATTATTACCAAAAACCTACGACCTAAGACTTTCAAAACAGAAAACCCACTTTCAAACCCAATCGAAATAAACCACTTATACTTACCTTACAGACTCCGACGAATAGCCAAACCACTACCAGACTCAAAATCCCTAAAACCTGAGACTTAACCCTCTTGGAAACCAAACCCATAACCCAACCTACGAATCAAACCCCCAGAATACCTCAAATCCCTAAAACCCGAGGCTTAAAACAAACACTGGCCCCAAAAACGACTGTAAAACAAACTAAAGGTGAATAGGTGATTTGTTCATGTAAAGGAAAGCTTGGGTTTTTTCGTTTCTCCCATTTCTTACTAATGGTATCTCTCTGTTTTATAGCTGATGGCACTAGGTTTTTTTTCATGCTTCTGTCATTTCCTTAATTGTTGATGCGTATCTTTTTTATCTGCTCTTTCCTTACTGTTT